CTTAGAATCCCCCGGGGACCCGTGCAGCCGCCCCTGGAGGATCGGATCTTCACCCCCACCGTCTCGGCTGTGTACAGCACTGTAAGTATCAGTGGGTAGGGGTGCTAAGCGCTCCCGTTCTTTCCGTGCGACTCCGGTCACCTCCTATGGCCTGCTGTGGGCTTTGGCAGGCCAGCCTGGCAGGTGACTCTGGGATGAGTTGGCAGAGCCCAGGGGTGGGGGGTGGGGCTGCCTTGTGGAAAACGTCCAGGCTCCAGATCTCCTTTGGGGGCCTGCGTCACTGCTTTCATGAAAAAAAAAATCCCCATTTTATTGAAGCAGTTGTACATTTTGTAACAAATAAAAACGAGCATTTGAAGTGTGGCTTCCCCAACAACGGAGCTTTTGCATCAGAGGGCGGGCCCGTTCATGCCCTTTCCCTCCTCAGGTTTTTGCAGAGACTTCCTGTGTGCGGTTCTGTAGCTAAGCCAAGGCGGCTGCTTGGCGTGAACTCTTAAAAGAAAGGGCAGGGATGGGGTTAAACCCTGCCACCAGGCGTTTTCATGCCCCAAAGGCCACATGGGAACAGAATTTAAAGTCATTTCACACTTGCAAGAGTCGCTGCAGGATGTGCTATAAACAGAAATTAAGCCCTTACTGTGAAGGCAAGAATTGAAGGGACTGCCAGATTTTGGTTCAGTTGTTTATTTTATGACATATTCATGGATGCCATTCTTTTTTTTAAAAAAAAATGTACAGCAGTTCAAAACATTTAAAAGCAGATTGAAAGATGCAGCCTCCTGGGCAGCGAGATACATCAGCGGGTGGCACCCTTTGGGACTGCAGGAAGCAGTAGGAAAGGCTGGAGTGTATGGTCAGAGGTTGGTAGGCTGGCCCCCCTCGTCCACCCACCCGGGCACAGCTGAGCACGGTCCCCTCCCTGTGAACAGCCTCTGTGTGTGAGCAGTGGTACTGCTAGAGCTGAGGGCTCAGGTGACACCCCTGGGGAGACTAGTGGGAGATGGGGAGGACTGGCTGAGAAGAGGGGCTGCCCCCACCGTCCCCTCTCTTCCTTATGTTACTGAGTTCCTGGTTTTCTGGCTGCAACGCAAGAGCCCGATTCCTCACACCACGGCTGTGCCGTCCCTCGCCTGAATGCGCCCTGCCTGGCGGTACCCGTCGTGGCCATTGGTGGGATGCCCAGAGGTTTCACACCCATGAGTTGTTCTGTTTTTCGAGGGATTTTCCCACAATGAAGGGAATCCTCCAGAAAAGAGATTAGGAAGGATTAGCTGCTCTACCATGTTGTGGTTTTTCTCGCGATGTGGGTCAGGAGGCCGGTCCATTCTGCGGTGGGGCCGAAGCTGTGGGACATCAGCTGACTTTTGCAAAGAGGGCTGTTCGCTTCCCGGCAGGGCGAGGGACCCTTTGCTAGAGAGCAGCTCTGATTGCCAAGAATAAGGTTTATTTTTATTGGATGTTCTGAATTACGCTAGGGTGTCTCGTCGCTTCAGAATGGATTGGTTTAAGTTACCAAGGGGAAAAAAGATTTAAAAACCCCATTAAGCCTATAATCCGAAACCACTGGCAGGCGGGGTTTTGTTTTGCCGCCTGTGGCCAGATACAGGGTTAGTCTGTCAGATAACGGACTAGAAAGCTGCAGCTTGTTTTGAAGTGAGTTGCTGGCACTGAATGGGACCTGCTTGTGTGGAAGCATATCTGGGATTGGAGTGGGACTTGTGTCCAGAGTCCTCAGGAGGAGGGGTGTTCTTTCCTGGGGGGGTCATCAGCTGTTCTTTGCTTTTGTTTCTTGTCTCCTGTTTTGGTGACGTGGGGAAGCGTGTGCCTTTGCGGAGGGGTTCATTGAATGAGGAATCACCGTAATTTAAGAAGAGCCAGATGTGCTGCAGAGGGTCAGCATTTGTGGGAAGGAGTGTGAAGCCAAACTACAAGACCCACCGGCAAGGGGCACCTCGGTGGGAACGGAGGAAGCACGGCCTTGCGTTCCGAGAGCATCCGAGGCACTGTGGTGTCCTACCTCTTCCCTAAAATGTGGCCTTTCTGGCAGGTAACATTTAGGGGGAGGCTTCTCCTGCTTACAATAAAGGTGTGGCTGTGGAAGGTGTCTCCAGAGAAGGCAGCGCCCTTCCAGTTCCATATCGGCCCCCGGGCGCTGCCTGGCTGCCTTTGGAAAGCCTGTGGAAATCGGCGGGATGGGCCCTGGCGCTTGAGTGCCCTCCTCTACGAGTGGGGAAGCTCTTCCCTGTCCTCCCTCGCCTTTGTTTGGAAGCCTGAAGTCACAGTCAGTGGATTGGGCTACAGGAGGAGCAGGTCTTGGCCGGAGCACCCGCAGCGGACAATCTGCTACAGCCTTGAAGAATCAAGTAGATTGAATGGCTTGCTCATTTAAAAAGGCTGATGCCATTGGAATCAAGCAGCAGGATGGTCCCCGGCAATCCTGCCCAGGGCATGGGCCGTTGTTGCTAAAGCGATGCTGGAGGCAAACGGACGCGAGGCCAAACGGAGGTGGTAGCGGCTTCTCACCGCGTCACCAGGATCCTGTGCTGTGGCAAGGTGGAGGAAAACCTGCGTTGCAGAATACTGGCTGGTTTCTCCTCGGCATCACTCTCTCTTTTTTTTGCAAACTGAATAATTTCTGATCAAAGAGACATGAGCTTTGCGCTCAGTGCTTGAGTCACGTTTGCTGGAGGCGCCTCCCTTCCGAAGGCATCAAGCGTGCGGCCGCTGGAGCCCAAGTGTTAATTGGCCTTGGCTGAAATGGGAGTCAAGAGCTTCTGGGCTGGGGTTGAGTGGCTGCCCTCCTGTTTCCTGCCTCAGAGTGCGGGTGGACCACCTTGACCGGGGACTCTGGTCCACCTGGGTTCTCCCAGAAGAGCCCTTTCGCCCTGGGCCTTCATCTCAGCCANCCCCCCCCCCCCACAGCCAGTGCATCCCTTAACCAAATAGAGGTTTTTCTTTCCCAGCCAAAAGTGCTGGTGCTTATGAAGCAGGGGCGCCAGGCCTTCGTGCATGCGCTTAGCTGGGAGTGTGGAGAGGGACGGACGGCTGGCGTCCCTCTTCCCTTTCCCCTCAAGGTAGTTAGCAGAGGCCCCAGCAGGTGGGGTCATGTCCGGCCCCACAGTTCTGTGACCCCTGAGCCTTGGGGAAGGGAAGACCCTTGATGACTCTGGGCCTTGAGACTGCTTTGGTCTTCCCTGTTGAGCCGAGCCCGTCCCACTGTTCCTTTTCTAGCTTCCGTGGTCGTGACATTTCAAGGGCCACTAAAACCAGTTCCAGGGGAGAACAGAGAAGCCCCCTGCGTGAAGGATTCCAAGACGGAACAGCGAGACCCCCCACTTTTTGTGCGGCCACTCAGCCTGTCTAGCAACTGCCTGCTGTTTTAGGGAGGCCAAAAGGACAGGGTGTGAATTGAGGAAACAAGAAGCACTTCCCCCAGACAGCCATTTTGCCGGAGAACAGAAGACGGAGCCACCGCCTGCTTGGTTTTCCCATCAGAGCTACAGGCCTGAGCTTCTGCTTGAAGGTTCCCAGCCGCCTTCTAGCAGGGAAGTTCCTGCTTTTCCAGGCAAATGGAATGGAATGAACAAACAAAAGTGGCATTTGGAAATCCCTAAGCAGAGTTAATTCTATCCTTTTTGGCTTTGTGTCAAATTTGCCTCGTCTTTTGCAAGGGGAGAGGGACTGAGTGGTGGCATGCATGGCAAGAGCTCTTTCTCAAGATAAAGATGGCATTCAGGATCATCCTCTCTTAGCTGGAATATTGGAATTTACATTCTGAGTTTAATTTCTATGGTGTTCTAGTAGGAAGTGAGGACAGGAGGGCCTTTACTTGTTCTGAATTGATGCCTGCAGAATAGGTACATTTCTGCTCTAACGAAGAGCTGTGTCCTGTTCGTGCATTACTTTGAAGGCTATATAATGGACATATTGCTCTGTTGAGAACTGATTTCTAGCATGTTCTGCAAAACGGAAGCTCCGTCCAGATGAAATGACCCATTGATCTTCTTGCAGGAGATACACCTATTCCTGAAGGATCACACTCTTCCTTCAGGAGCAAGGCTCTGAGATCTCACTGATGTTTACTTAGGTGGATACCTAGGTGGCCTCCATGACCACTTACATTATTTAATTATTTATTTACGTAACATTTTGCTAACTTGTGACAGCCGTGTTCCCCTTTTGGAGACAAAATGCATGGTCTACTGTACCAAGTACTGCGGTCGCAAATCATCTACCAGCCTCTTTAAAGATAAGCATGTGATCACACAGCAGCTGAAATCCAGTTGACGCACGTTATGCTGTGGATCTCCGATAACATTATCACCTGAGACCGTGCCATGGCTGTTTCAGGGAATGAGAAACTTCCCATTCCTTCCTCCATCTGACTCTAGGGATCCCCCTTCATCCTAGGAAGCCTTCGGGAAGCTCCGAACGGGGAAGGGAATGATTTAACGTCAGAAAATTGCTACCCCTGGGACCTTGTTCAGGAAATGTATGATTTACAGATGGGGAAGCGGGATTCAAATTGGTTAAAAGAAGTAAGGCTTGAATTGCAGTGATTTTATGTCCTTCCACTTGTCACTGAGGTTCTCAGCCAAAACAATGTTCGTTCTGGGGGGGACTACAGTGCCAAGGATATCCCAGACACAGAGGTGGATCGGTTTGGGATGGACAGGCGCCGCCCACCTTTGACAGAAGGAGACGCCCCTTACCCTGAAGAGTGGCGGCGTGAGAGCAACTGTGAGAAGCAGTTTGGGCAGTTTAGTTTTTCCTCCGGTGGTCCCTGCTCACCTCCGTTTCCCCTTTAGGCTGAAGAGGTGTGGTGAGTGGTGTCTTTGTGTGTATTCCCAGGAAATCAGAAGTCTATTGTGAGGTTTGTGTGGTGCCTAAGTGTTCCCAGAGGCGGCAGAGGGACTCATCTTTGGTTTGACTAACAGTTTATCTCCTCACAGGTGACCCAGGTGGCGAGACAGCCAGGCCCTCCTGCCCCCTCCCCTTACTCTGCACATGAAATAAGCAAAGGGCACCCAGCCCTCGCAGCAACGCCACCCGGACATGCCTCCTCTCCTGGCCTCACCCAGGTAAGATTGGGTGCTCGCCACCCCTTGCTATGTTTCTGGGCCAAAGCAGACTGGCTTCTGGGAGCTGCCTGCCCAAAAGTGGGAGGGTGGGAGGAACGACGACACCATTTCCATGGGGGCTGGGCTGCTGTGCCTTCCCCTTGTTGGCACGGCTGTCCCTCCGGAAGGACAAGGGAAGCGAGAGTAGAGAAACGCCCCCCGGGCGTCCCTGGGCCTTTTTTGTGGGCCCTTCGCCGCACCGGTCCTCCCTCGCCTCCTGCACCTGGGGGAGCGTTTTGTTTCGCTGAGCGGCGGATGGATGTTTTCACCCTGTGCCTGCAGGCCAGTCTTCCGCTTTTCCTACTCCTGGCAATGGCAAGGGAGGAAGGGCTGAGAGAGAGGGAGAGGAGGGGTGCAGGGTTGGACGTGTGCAGGATGGAAATCCATAGTGTGTCCTTCACAGCATAGGCTAAAAGAAATGGTTTCTTCCCCCACCCCCTTAAAACAGAAGCAGTGAAGTTGGAGAAGAGTAGAGGGAGGAGAGGTGGGAATGAAGAGTCTCTCTGGTTTGTGAAGGCGGGGGAATGAAGAGCCGAGGGCGTCCTCCCTGCCCAGCTATTAGCGGGGGGGGGGCTCTTACTCACCTGAGGTGAAAATGCAGGTTGGTGAGCCCGAAGGGACGTGGAGGCAGCCTGCCAGAGTTTCCAGAGCAGAGGCAGGCTCAGCCGGCAGTGACGCCTTCATTGCTTCTCTACGTGAGGGTCGAAGCAGGAGTTTGGGGCTGGAGGGACGGCTTAGGACCGAGTCGCTCTCGAAGGAAGCGGAGAAGGAGGAGGAGGAGGAGGAGGAGGTGCTCTGGTCATGAAGAGAACTGCCAGATCCCCAGGTGGGAGTCTGGATCCCATCAGAGAAGAAAGCTGTGTGTGTGGGGGGGGTCCTTGAAGGAGAGGGTGATCTTTTGGATTTTTGTCAAGCATAGGCGGGGGAACGCCAGAAGGCAGGGTCGCCCAGACGGACAAGTACACGGGAGCCGTTGGGCCTCCTCCAGCGGGCCTGGCCTCCCTCTTGAAGAAGGCAGGGTCGCCCAGACGGACAAGTACACGGGAGCCGTTAGCGGGCCTGGCCTCCCTCTTGGTTAGAAAAGGGCCGGGCTTTCCGCTCGGTCCAGCTCTCCGCTCCCTGCCAGGGGTCTTGGTGCGAGGAGGGGGCCAAGAACAGGGCTTAGTCTACTTCAGCGTGTGTTCAAGACTCGCCAGGAAGACAAAAGTGGTGGGTGTGTCATGTGGCCTGGCGTAGCTGCTGGCGGGGTCCTTGCAGCAGCCTTAGCCACAGTGGCTAGGCCGGGCTCTGGTTCTCCCTGGCACTCCTCCCCCGTCCTGTGGGCAATTCCTGGGGGAGGTTTCTCCCACCCCACCCCACCGCACCCCGAATCCCAGGAGGCCTTCCTTGCCCCAGGGCCTCAGGCAAAGGGGGGGGGTTCCCCGTGTGCTCTGCACGAATGCAGGACGTGGGCCTTGAAGGCAGCCTGGTTCTCCCTGGGGGAGTTGTTCCTGGACGGTGCCCCTCGAGCCCTCTGGGCGCGTTCCCCGACATCCACCCTGAGAGAGAGAGTGGCCGAGAGTGCAGCTGTCGGCCCTGCCCGCCCACCCCGCTTGCCGGCAGGCCCCTTGAGTTGCCTTTCAGAGAAGGGCAATGGGAGGGGGGCCCCACGGCCTGAGGCAGGGTCCCTTTTTCCTTTCGCCAGCGGTCAGAGGCGCTGCTTGGGGCTCAGCTCTGCAGCTCCTTCCCTGGTGGGTTCAGGTCATCGGGAGTCCTTTCTCTCCCCCCCCCAACCTCTCCAGACCCACTTCCAGGTCAGGAGGAGGAATTCTCTCCTGCCTCTGCCTCTGAGAGGGCGAGGGCGCTTGCTTGGTGGCCTTGAGGGTCAAGCAGCGTTTTTCTCTGCATCTGCAGTTGTCCACTGCTTTCTTTCCGGGCTCCCTGTGAAAGCGACTCCAGGGGCGGCTCCCCTTTAGACAGAGCTGGGGGGGGGAGAAGAAGACCTAGAACCAAGGATAGATGTGTGTGGCTACTTCCCGGAGGTAGCCATAGGGGTGGCTTGTTAATCGGATGCCCCCCCGCCCACCCCCATCTCTGATGACTGAGAAAGTGTCCCTTGCTGTTCACTGGTGTTGCTGAAGCAGTCTCCTTCCTGGTGGCAGGACATGTCCCGCAAAGGCGATGCCTTCATGTGGACCTCTTCGTCCCCCCCCCCGTCACACACCCCACCCACCCGCTGGAGTCTGTGGAAAGGAGGTGCTTTCCAGAGCGTTGAGCTGTTTGATTCCTCGGGTGGGAGGAGGTGGGGAATCAGGGAGAGCTGAGTCTCAGTGGGGTGGGGGCAGACCTCTTCCCCTGCAGTGTTGCTGTCAGCAGAATCCTGCAGCCCTTCCCAGGGTGTGTGTGTGTGTAGGGGGTTGTATCTGTGGGTGTGTTGTCTTCAGGCATGATCCCGGGGATGCCTGTGGCAGCAGAACCCTTCGAAACCATCCCATCAGCTCCCCCCCCCAGCTCTGCCCAAGAAGGGCTGCTAGTCCTTGGCAGGGGTTGGGGGGGGGTTGCTCCCTAGCACAGGGCAGCGGGAAAGGCGGTCTGCCAGGTGGCCAGGCTGGGCCGAGGGAGCGCAGCAGGTCTCCTCCTCCTGTGAGCCTGTGGGCAGGGCGAGAGCTTTTCCGCAGATATGTGCCAGCTCCTGTTCCCCCCCCTTCCCCATGTCTCCCTGACTCCACTTCCTCTTCCGCTCTCGCTCTTGCTCTCTCTTCCTCTCTGTCTCTCTCCCCATCTCTCTTTCTCTCTCTCTCTCGCTCTTTCTCTCTCGCTCTTACTCTGTCGTCGCTCTCTTTCACTCTCGCTCCAGCAGCCAGGAGGGAGGAGGGACAGAAGCTTTCCACCCCACCCAAGAGCCAGCAGTCTTTTTGAAGATCCAAGGGAACTGGTGCAAAGGATTCTGGGATGTGGGATGGTGAGTCACAAGAGGAAAAAGGCTGAGCGCTGCCCCGCCAGAAAAGCCTGGCTCTCGTTTTCTGATGGGTGGAAGACCTTGGCTAGGCGGGGCCCTGAACTCTGGGTTGGGGGGGGGGAGCCCTGCCCGAGAGGCAGAGAGACCACACCGGCCTTGGGCTCAAGGGGGGCGGCAGGGGGGCGGCTGGCCTTGTCCTCTGGAGAGGGTTTCCCTTCTCGTGTTGCATCTTGAAATCCAAGCAGGGGGCGGCTGGCCTTGTCCTCTGCAGAAGGTTTCCCTTCTTGTGTTGCATCTTGAAATCCGAGCGGGTCCTGATACATGGTCTGAGAGTTGCGAGGGTTGCTTGGCATCTGAAAGTCTTTGCTGCCGGGTTGCCGCTCAGAGGTTAAGTTGGTTGACATGACTGTCTTGGGAGGGGAGGAGGCTTGCTGCAGGAGAGCAGGCCAGGAATGAAGAGCTGTAAGTTCCCAGAAGGGTGGGAGACAGCGTCCATGGAGAGAGAGAGAGAGAGAGAAGGGGAGGAAGGAGGTCAGGGCTCAGGGCCACAGCATCCCGTGTCAGACGGAAGGGGAGAGGGGGGGCACACGTGGGGGAAGGGACCCCCGGAGGAGAGGGCTGACTTCACAGCAGTGCAGCAACAGGAAGGGAGTGTGGGCGGTGATGTGGCAAAAGAGGCACAGATGCCCATGAGATGGAAGGAGAGGAAGGGCCCTCTGGGCGCAGGGGGAAAGGGGGTAACAAAGAACAGGTCACCAAACACCTTCCCCCTGCCCCCCCCGCCCCCCCTTAAAATGACTGCTTTTGTGTATGTAACACAGTGGTTCAGCACTGTTGCTTTCAGAAGGGGGGGGAACCCAGTGGTCTCCTGCTTCTTGTCATGTACCTCTGGAGCCAAACCTCCGCCGCTCTTCTCCAGAAGAGAATGGATTGTGTGTGGTTTCCTGTGTAAATAGCAGAGGACGATGAAGCATGTGTACACAAACCTCTTGAGGGAGAGGATTTGAATGCTCTTTGCCCTTTTCTGAAGAGGACTGTCATCCTGCGTTGAGAGGTGCTTGGTGGGCTGCTGGTCCAGCCTCCAGCGCCTGCCTTCCCGAATCCAGACGTCCAGTCACGGTGCAAAGGGCTGTGGAAGAGTTTGGTGGCTAGCTCTGCAGCTGGCCCGATCCAAGACTCCTCAGAGGTGGCCTTGGCTGTTGGGGGTCTCAGCCGGTAGCTAAGGCTCAGTGGACGGGTTGCTGTGAACCCTTCCCTCCCTGGGGTTGCTGGATTGGCTGGGCGGCTGGGCGCTCTGAGCGTAGGTGAGGGCCTCCTTCTTGCTGCGTCTGCCAAATCTGATGAGCCCATTTCTCCTCCCCCCCCCAGCCCCACTTTTGAGCAGTATAAAAAGCGGTTCTGTCCACTTCCAGGTTGCTTCACCTTCACGGTGGATCTTGCTGCCTTGTGTGCGGCAGAAACACCATGGACCTGTTTCCCCCTGTCAGGACGGCGTTATCTGCAGGTTCTTGTAAAGCGACGGCGCACGAGGGGTCAGCTTGAACATGGGGCCCTGACCCCTCCTGTCATCCCTTTTGCCCCCCAGATCTTCAGCCCTGTGTCTTGTGCAGTAGTTTAGAAATCCAGTCTGGAGGAGAGCAGGAGGCTGCTGGCTTAAAATGACACTACGGGCTCAGGAGCACACTCGGCTTGCATCTTCCACCCCTTTAAAAAAGAAGCCTGCCCCGTGGGTCTTTGCGTGCTTCTTCCACGCAGTGGCACCCTCAGAGCAAGGCTCTAGGTGCCACTGTTCGGAGGGACCCGGCTTGCTTACCGCTTGTGTCCTCCTCAGCCCTGTGGTTTCCGCACCAGAGGAATGTGTACAGAAAGTCCAGCGGCGCAGCTCCAGAATGGTTGCTTCCGCTTTTGTATGTGTGTGTGTGTGTGTTGTGTTTTGAGGCAAAGCAATCCGTTTGCACTTTCACCGGACTCCCTCTTTTGACTCCTTTCAAGGCAGAGTTTGCTGACGTTAGCTTAGATGTTGCTTTCAGAGTGCCTGGCTCTGTTTCAGAGCTAGAAGGTGGTGGTTCACTTGCATGGAAGCAAGAGGGCTTCTGGAGGCCCGGGCTTCATGAAACATTGTGCAGATAGAGGAATGTGCCGATTTAGAGAGCTTTATGTCGATTGCAGCTCCTGGTGGATGATGGGATCCTTTTCTGAGGGACTCTTTCGGCCAGAGGTCTTGGAGGGGGTGGAAGGATGTTCAGAGATCAGCAGAGCTCCTCTGGTGCACAGGGATAGATAGACAGCCCCCCCCCCAGCCCTCCAAATGCTTTTGATCTCCATCACTTGGGCAGGGGGAGTTTGCAGGACAGGAAGATCTAGAAGGCCGCCGTTGCCAGCCTCTGTATGAAAGGGTGAGGAATTTGGGGTCCCTGTGAGATGGAGTTAGCAACAGCATTCGTTAGCCAGATCCATTAGTGAAGGATTCACAGGACAATGCTTTGCATTGGAGTCAGTGTACCCACCAGAGCCCTGGACTGAGCCAGTCGGCCTCAGGCCTGCCGACCCCTCTCCCCCCCCCCACTGGCCCGAGGGATTCTGGGCGGTCCTTTTCTCTAGCCAGGACGGAGACCCTTCGGCTGTCGGACGCCGCCGTGTGAGGAGGACAGGTTTCCCAGCAGCCCATAGGCAACCGATGGTCTTGCTTATGGACCAGGTGGCTTTCCTGCACCCAGACCCAAAGGATGGAGCACCGGGTGTGTGTGTGTGTGTTTGTGGGGGGGAAGCAGCGCCGTTTCCCAGAGAGGGAGCCCTGCCGAGGCAGAAATTTCCATGATAATGTTCAGAGCAGGAAGCGAAAGAGCTGCCTTGTGACTCAGCACTTTCTCTCCCCCCCCACCGCCCACCCCCTCCCCCTTGTGACGTGGTTGCCGGTGTCCTTTGCCTGTTTATTCCCAGCACTGTTAGCGGGGGGGGGGTGAAGCTTGTGTCGCCCAGCAGGCCTAGTGGGTGCCAACTCGATTGGGTAGGCAGAGGAAAACAAACCCCAGTGGCTGAGCTGGTTTGAGTCACCCGGTGGAGGGAAGGTTCCAGCCGAGCGGATTCCTGGGTAGCCTCCGCCAGGGTCCCTTCCTCGGCAGAGTCCTCTTCCCTCCACCCGGGACCAGGCCGGGAGAGGCCGCTGCTGGGCCCTCGAGTGCCTCCTGGCTTGGGTAGGTAGGTTCCTCTCCCTGCCCGTAGAAAGGGTCGAGGCCCGGGCAAGGTCAGTTTCCGTTTGGATGTCGGTTTTCCTGAACAGCTTTGCACGGTTTTAAATGGTTTCCATTCCTTATGGTGGTTACGTTCTTCTAAGAACCGCGTAGAGCCCTGAGGTCTCGGGATACAGGGTGGGCTGTCAGTGAGCGAGGACGTGGCCTCAGAGCAGGGGTGCTGGTCCTCTCAGTCTCCAGACCCAGGTGTCTCAGACTTCAGCTCCCAGAACCCCTGGCCTTTAGTCACAGTGGCTGGGGCTTCTGGGAGTTGAAGTCCGAAACAACCCGATGACCAGGGATGGGCAGCCATGGGCCACGCCGGAGGCTCTGCTTTTTGATCATTGGTGTTTGCGATGGTAGTTTTTGCCCCTCAGAGTCTGTGAGTGGCCCCAGGCAGAAGCGGGTCTCAGGTCAGCTCAGAAACCTGGAGTGGGTTGAGATCAAACCGAGGGACTGCCAGGTGCCACCTTTGGGGTTGGGTCTGCTTGTAGTCCAGCAACTTGCACCCCAATTAAAATCATCCTAGACATTTTTCTGTGCCAAGCCTTCCACTCAGCTGGGGTGGAAGGGGAGACAAGCCTCTGCGCCTTGTGCAAGGAGAGCCACAGGGACCCAGCAGAGTGGAGAAGGGGTTCGCTGGGGCTGCCCTCGTGGCCAGCAAGGCAGCCAGACGCCCACGCCGGCTGTCTGCCCTTGGAGGACTTCTTCCCCAGGACACCCCAAAGCAGATGCCCTGAGTTCCTCAGAGCCGCCCTGGGGGCCGACGGGCTTGCTCGTGGCCTCTGTGCTCTTCCACACAGGAGCGGCAATTGCTCAGCGTCTCTTGGTTGAACGTCTGAGCTGTGAAAACGACCTGCGCTTGCAGAGGGTCTTGGGGACCTGGAGCCATGGGGGAAGAAAGCCCTCTTGCCCTCCTGTAGAAGAAGAGCCCCCGAAGCCTTCCCTCCTCCTGGAGTCTGAATCCTGTTTGCAGGCAGGGAGGGTGGGAAGGACGTCCACGGGCGAGCCTTCCCCGCAGGTGCCTCTTTAGAGAAGCTGCTGCTTGGCTGGGAAAGGTGCTGGAGACACACGAAGGGCCCCCCCCAGCCTGAAAGAGGGTCTGAAGGTGTCTGAACAGCTTGCCTTGGTCCGAATGAGGGAAGGAGCCTCCAGGGAAGGGCTCGCCTTCTCTTCCAGGGCCCCCCAAACACTGAGTGCCACATGCCCTGGTAGAGGGAGGGCTGTCGAAGGAGGAGGTAAAAGCCGTTGGTGGGAGACAGGATCGTGTCCTTCCTGACAAAAGAGGCTGGGGAGTGTGTTCCAAAAAAAGAGCCCAGCCCGTTGCTGACCAGGCCCTCTGCAAACGTGCCTCTGTGCTGCCTCTGCGCAGTTTGCCCGCGGACACGGGGCTCTTGTCTTCCAAAGGGGCGCAAAGCCTCGGGTTGGTGGGTGGCTCCAAGGCAGCCCCGGAGACCTTGGGGCCTCGGTCGGAGGGCAAGATTTCCACAGCTTCTTGAAGGAACGGTGGCTGCGTCTGGGGAGGGACTGTCCCAGGGCATGTCCGGTGGAGGAGGAGGAGGAGGAGGAGGGAGGATTCCGGAAAGCAGCATGCTCTCCCATGCAAAGAACAGCTGGGTCTCTTTGGGCCTGCCTGGGGCACCCATGCGCTTGCACAGCCGCCCCCCGGTCGGAGGGCAAGATTTCCACAGCTTCTTGAAGGAACGGTGGCTGCGTCTGGGGAGGGACTGTCCCAGGGCATGTCCGGTGGAGGAGGAGGAGGAGGAGGAGGGAGGATTCCGGAAAGCAGCATGCCCTCCCATGCAAAGAACAGCTGGGTCTCTTTGGGCCTGCCTGGGGCCCCCATGCGCTTGCACAGCCGCCCCCCCCCCGCGCAGACACACTCACAACCACCCGCCTGACCATCTTTCAGGAGGCAACATGGTGAGGAGCTAGACCAGGGGATCCAAACGCCCATACCCCCCCCCAATACTGTTGGACTGCAAATCTCACTGATGATAATCGACGGGAGTTGCAGTCCAAGGGCGTCGGGCTGGGGGTGCACCCAGTCAGCCCTTCTTGGGAGCAGGCGAATGCCCAGGCAGAGCCATCCTGGCAGGCCAGAGTGACCAGGAAGGGATTCAGAAGGACGCCTGCTCTGCTCCCATGTTCCTTGGTGGTGCATTTGGATAGAATGGGTAGCCAAGCGGTGAGCAAAGCTTGGAACAAAGGCTCGTTGCTCCCCAGTCCGTGAGCATCCAGCTGTGAGAGGAGGTAACGGGGGGGGGGCAGAGGGAGTCCCTTCCGGGAGAAGCATGGGTGGGAGAGAACGGCGCCCATTTTGCCACCTTTGGTGGTGGTGGCCAGTGCGGGTGCTGACCACATGCTTTTTCCCCCCTCTCTGGCAGGCCCCGTATCCCTCGGGACAGAACGCAGCCCCGGCCACGCTGGTCTACCCGCAGGCTCCTCAGACGATGAGCGCCCAGCCTCAGACGCGCTCGCCGGTAAGGGAGACATTCTTGGCTCATATTTCTCGTGCTGTGCCCACCTGCCCGCTCTCCCCCCCCCATGCCTCCACCAAAGCCCTGGCCTCATCCTGGGTCACTCTTTTCTGGCTTGCTTGCCTGACCGGAAGGGGGCAGAGGGGGCTGGTTTCCTTCCCAGAAAGGATGCCGTGGGTGTGATGTCTTGCCACCCCAAGGGCTGCCTGCCCACTGCCCGAGGGGTTGCATCAGGCTCTTCAGGGAAACTCTGGACCGCAGAGGGTAGCAGGAGGATGAGACGCAGGCCCTCTGAGTTGTTCCTGCCTGTTCTCCAGAAGCCCGTCATTTCCAGCGCCTGGACCTGCTCTGATGGCTTAAAGGCGAGGCTCCCTCTGTGTGGCAAATGCTTAGTCTTTCTCTTCTGGACTTTGCAACGGGTGGTTCAGGTACCCCTGCCAGAGAGACCCACGAGGCAGGACGGGCCCCAGCTCCTCCTTGCTCTGGCTCTGGCTGTCGGCTCTCCTGAGCATCCTGTGATCAGAAGCAGCAGCCTCTTGCCCCCCTCGCTTTCCTGCCCTATAGCTCCACCCCACCTGATGTCCTGACTTGGAGGGAGAAAGCTGTGCCTGGTAGGACCGTGTTCCAGCAGGAGCTGTTGTGTTAGGTCTTGTGTACTCCCCTCATCCCCTTGCCCCCCCCTCCGCTCTTGTTAGAGGGCAGGTGAGAGCCTTGGCTTCTGCGGCCCCTGGATGTCCTGTGTCAAACAGCCAGCCCGCTCTGTCTGCGTGGACGGAAGGTTAGCTGAAGAAAGGGCCTCCGGCCGACTGAGTCGGCCTCGCCCAGCCCTCCCTGCAGGCTGTGGTTCTGCCCCAAGACAAGCGGGGAGAGCAAAAGGGAGGGACTCCCCACCCCACCCCCAGGCCCTCCTTCCTCCCCTTCCCCCCTGGAGGGCTTTTCTAGAGCTCGTGTCACTGTCGGTGGCTAGAAGGAGAGCCTGACTCTAGAGCTGCATCTCTAAACCAGTTTTCTTGACGACAGCCCGGCAGAGCAGTGCCAGTCCATTGCACAGACCACTGGAAGCAGAGGAAGGTTTTGGAACAGAGTCCGGTTTACAGGTCCCTGGCAGGAAGAGGCTGGATAAAATACTACATTGTAAGCAATATAACAAACTGTACTCCCTTCTTGCAGGCAGCTGCACCCATAAGCACCGTTTCAGTTCTGTTACTCTTTTTGGTTTTTCTAGTTTTTTTTCCCTCTCTCTTATTATTATTATTATTATTATTACCACATTGTTGACTGATCTACAGAAAAGCACTGATCTCTCCTTAGTTGGTGCCTGACGGCTCAAGCGGTCTTGGCAGTTTGGAGGGGGGGCAGCCCCCTACCCCCCACCCACCCTCAGGTGGCTGTAGGAAGAAATTGGGGCAGCCCCCAGTCATGATGGCCAAGTTGAAGGTCCACCAGCCAAGAAAAAGCTGCGGAAGATGCCCAGGATCTGGAGCGGTCAGGCCGCTGGGGCATTTCTCCAACCCCAATGTGTGTATTGGGGGGGATGGTGGTCTGCGTTTCATTGGACCAGGGGAATTGGCAGAAAATATTCGAAATGGCAGGGACTCTTCCTAATGATGGAGGAAATACGTCGTAGAGCAGAAGCTGACTATAAGTCGTCGGCTATTTTTCTGTGATCATGAACAATTTTTTTTCTAAAAGATTACCCTGCGTGCAGTCTTTGCCATCCGTTGCGTTTTGTGATCATTACCAAACCATGACTAAAAATTGCTCACGTAACATTTCATTTCCGCCCCCCCCTTTCCTTCCCCCTTCCAGGTCCAGAACAAATGCAAAAAAAGGACCCGACCCACCCCGGCCGAGCTCTGAGCAGCTCTTGCATTTTGTGTTCTGGGTTTGGCTTCTTCTGTTTCTCTCCCTCCCTCCCCCTCACTTTGTGGTGTTGAGGGGCGCTCGGTCAGCGAGGGGTGAGGGGGCCGGGTCACCCATGCCCTCCCCCGGGGTCCCGGCTGGCTAGCTCTGACCAGCTGTGGGACGGAAGCCCGCTCCTCCTCCCCGTGACCCCGCTGGGTCCTTCTTTCCGTTTCTGCCTCCAGAGGCG